GGAATGGGATCAAAATCTGGGGGGGTGGGGGGGGGGAACGGAAGTGCACGGGATTATGGTGATGGCACAGGGTGATTTGGTGATCGGAAGTCCAAGTCCAGATGGGATTGCAGCTGACATGGGGAAAAAATGTACAAAATGAAGTAAAAATAAACTATTATATATATAGATATATATAAAAAGTGAGCAGTTTTGTTCTCCCTGATAGAGGGTTTTGTTTCACTCTTTCCCGCCTTGAATAGGGAGATATCATTTAGAAGTTCTTTTGTAAAGCGAGATGATGCACACTTTTGGCAGTTGAGTGCAGTCTGTTTCTCCAGTTACTTTGTAATTGAGAGGCATGTTAATATCCTCATAAAAGACATTCTGCTGCCTCTTGTTTAAATGCTCAGCTGTTCTGAGGCCTTAACTTCCCCCAGGCAGCCAGTGACTGACTGGAGTCAGCAGGTTTTTATGGCATTAACAGCAGTTTGCTCTTTTATTTTTAATGTGATTCTTAATCCCTCTTTTTTTCTTTCCTCTAGGTTCCTGCAGCTGAGAATAGCCTACCCGTCCGTTCCACCCCTGCTGAAGATGACTCCTGTAAGCATTTGTTCTTAGATCTGGAGGGTGAGGCTATTCTTCTCCATCTTGTATTTGTGTAGGGAGGTGTCCCCATAAATGTTGGTGTTGAGAAAGTAACATTAAATACAGTTATTTAGTTGATTAAATCTTTCGCCTGGTTTTAAGTACTGATGTTTGAATACCCTTCATACATTTTTTGGTTTAGAAAGCAGTTAAATTCAATTAAATATTCACATGGGGCCAAGTGAAGTACTTTGGTGCGTCTCTATTTCATGACACCTTTGTGTACCAAACTTCTTCAAGGTTAAAGCTGTGAAAACTAATTTTGAACTTTCATTTGAATAGGTTAGCCAAAAAGGATTTTATTCATTTGTAGGGATAAAGAATTGGTATTTAAGTAACTTTTTAAAAATACCCTTTCCCCTCCTTACTTCAGTTTGCATTGTGATTTACCCTCTAGCCAGATTCTAGTGATTTCCCTGTTAGTGTTAAATTTGTCCAACTTTTTCTCCCTGTTTTGGCATCACTTTGAGCCCCCCTTCTCCCAAAGACAAAAATTTGTCTTCTTTTCCCCGTACCATAGTCACTGTTGAATCTGATTTTCAGTGTATTGTTTTTTAAATATATATCTATATGGATTTCTAGTTTCTCTATGGTTAATTGGTCACTAGGCACTGAGAATTTTGCAACTAAAGTAGAAGCATGAGCTAAACAAAACTCTTCCGTTTTGAATCCAGGAAAATTCCTTTTGGAATCATTTTGTTTGGATTAGAAATTTTTCTAATTTTTTTATTACACTTGCAAAACACTTGTTTGAGAAACAATTCTTTCTAGTATTTTGTTGACGTAACTCTAGATTTTAAAGAATTCTTTTATGGCTCCTTTGTAGCTATGTAAATGGCTTTTCTGTGCCTTTCTGCATTTCCCACATAATGAATATACTGACAGGAAATTAACTCACACCAGGGACAAGTCAATGATTGTGAAAAAGCTTCATGGAGCCTTTTCCCATAATCTTCTACTGTAGAACTGACCAAAAAGAGTAAACACACACACACACACACACACATACACTGAAATTTTTACCCTCACATTCCCCCAGCCTCAGTTGAATCTCCCCAGAGTTATTATGAGTGCCACTACCAAAAACTTATTGAAATCTGTAAATAGCCTTTAAAATTGACAAATGATAGGGGCCTCCCTGGTGGCACAGTGAGGTAAAGTGCAGCACTATGAGGCTGTCTGCAGCCACTCCAGCCAGGGAGGTGACTCACAGGGTCCAGCAGACTTCTCCTGTCTCCTCTCTGCTCCCCTCAGCAGTGTATTTCAGTCCATCTGCCTGTTCTGCTCCCCACTTTGTCTCTAGTGACTCCTCTCACCACCACCTCCACCTCTGGCCTGTACCCCAGTTCTTGAATGCATAAATAAATCTATAAAAAATAAAATTGATAAATGCTCCTGAGCAAAAAGTTCTTTTCCATATGGTAGTTAGATAGATTCCCAGTGTGTGGTGAAGGGTGAGAAAGTCTCCTACCTGAGACCCAGTATGTAAGAGCATTAGAATAGTCTTCAGCAAAAAAAGCAGTATGTTTCCTGGCAGAAAAAGGACTTGTCACTAGGCCGAGTACATAAGTGATTTGGGAGGAGTGTTTTCTAAGACTCTCCATGAGGTACTCTAAACCACTTTCCTGTTGTCACTTACACAGGTAATTCTCAGGCTAAGAGTGAGGTCCAACAGCCTGTCCATCCTAAGCCACTAAATCCAGATGCCAGAGCCTCCGGCCTTTCTGAAAGTTCTCCTACCAAAGCAGTGAAGGTATGGTGGTGATTTCATTCTGAGCCTTAGTGGTAGAACTTACTGTACCTATGGTCATTATTTGGACTATCACCTGTTTTTGCTTTCCTGGGATAAAAATGCCAAATAAGGGCCCTTGGAAGCCAGTCACTTTCCAGGAAGTCTTGTTATGCTCAGGTTTTGGGTCAGCCACAGGGAGGCTCACTAATATCTCAACTTGAAATCTGGCAATCTCAAGAAAATGTTGAGAAAACTTGAAGTTAAAGAAAATAAGTTTTTGAAATGTTTCTGAAAAAATATAATACAGGTTCTTAAATCTAAATGGGTAAGAGCCCCTGGATGGTAACTACAAGAAGCCTATAAACTCAGAGCAGCCCATGAGATGGGGATGGTCAGTGTCCATTTAAAGACAGTGGACCCTAGTCAGAGGAACTTGACCAAAGCAAAACTGATGGTCAGCATATTTAAAGGAGGGATGTCTATATTGCAGTGATACATAGATGGGCCAATACATATTCCAATAAAAATAAATGAAGGTTTTTAAAAACCCACTTGTTTTAGGCTAATTATTATCACTGTCTTGTTTTCACTGAATGCTTTCCCAATGCAGTGCTGATTGACCTATTTAGATTAATAGCCAAATAGACACTTCTTTAGTGTCTTTCTCCTCTGGTACTCTCTTAAGTAGGTAAGTTTTGTTTTGAAATGTTAACATTGCAAGAAACACAAGGATAAAAGTTATAAGATGTAGTGCCCCAGCCTCATGCACACATCTGCCATGCTTATAACTCTCAGATGTGTGAGTGATCGATCCCTTATTGAAAGTTCTAGAGCCCCCAGAATGAAGCAGACATAGATGAGGGTTCAAAACAAAAGGAGGAAAGAGGGGAAGCCAAGATTTAAAGGGTGGCTTAAAAGGGAGGAAATGGATAAAGAATGCAAATGTGAAAATTTAAAAGAAGCAGAAATTAACGAGGAAAGGAAGGCTTATTGAAAAGGAGCAAACAATGACAAAAGTAGCAAGAGGCAAGTAAAGAGACAGAACCTAACTGCGCATGTCCTCGAGGTGATGCTCACTTCCGGCCTAAAAGTGCTGTTCTTAGCACTTTTTCCAGTATCTGAAGCCCATGTGTTAATTTTCTCACCAACAGTGACCCTGTCCAGATGTGAGTCCCTGGGTCTAGATCAAGAAAAGCCAGCAAATCTGACTTGGCTACGCTATGCCTGAGAGACTAGGGAAATTCCATGACTAATCTAAGGACTCAAATCTGTTCTGGAGTAGACTGAATTCTCCACCCAGTCTTGCCTCCCTCCCTCAACTTCCAGACCAGACCTCCTGGTACTGGATTCGACCTTTGAGATCCCTTCTGATTCAAACTTTAGGGTCTGAGCTCATGAGCAATATAAAAGCAATTCCCACTGTTTGGGCTTCCTGAGGGAGGAGATGGAGAGAAAACCTCCTCAGCGCCTGCTCCTGTGACCCGGCTACTGAGCAGCAGAATGCAGGCAGGCCTTTCACCAGTCAGACACCACAGGTTTCGAATGCTGTTTGAAGCCTGGAATAAACTGTTCCTACCGCCTGTGTTTGCTCATAGTTCAAAGCTTAACAGATCATGTACAGAGCCTGGGTGGGACCCAGTCACAGTGCTACTTTTATCTAAGGCCAGTTGACTTTCTCTTCCTCAGAATTGCCCCTTATATTGCTCTATATCAAGAATATGGATATTTTCGTGTTTATAGAAGACCTGCTGACATGCTGTCTCATAGCATAGACCATGCAACAGAGGACGAGTCTCCATTTTTGGAGGTTACATACAGCTAAGAATAGATTTAATCACTTAGAAGAGATTTTTAGGTCCCACACATCCTGGAGAAACTACTCCTTACTGCCTGTTACTAAAAATAGGACATTAAAATAGAGATTCAATTCATTTCAAATTTTAACTTAATGGAGTAAAAAAAAGATGCAGTGTTCAAAAAGTAAGGCTTTTGAACACTGACTAGAGAGCTCAGTTGAGAGACTCAGTGCTAATGAACTCAGTGCTAATGTAGGTTCATTCTCAAAGGAGAGCAGAGCTCATGGGCCCTGTCAAAGGAGCAGGAACTTTTTACCCAAGAGACCCAGAGGTCTTTAAGTTTCATGTTCTCTAGCTTGAAAGGCATCATCGCCTAAATGTTCTGAGGAAGGCTACGGGAGGGAGAGACCAGATGTGACTGGCCCTGGAACACCAGCGTGCCTTAGCTGTCCGGTCCTACCTAGTCTGAGGATTCCTCAGTTGGTCCTGCTGATAGATGAGCAGAGGAAGCTTGGGACTGGACTGCCCGGAGCATGCCCTGGGGCCTCTCCCTCTGTGGGCAGAGAGCTGTTCATAGGCATAGCTACTAAATTATGCTAGACGGGCCTCAAGAACCTTTTCTTACTACATATTAGTACTGTTTTCCCAGAGCTTAACTTTTTCTCTCCATTTAAAGCAGCCTGTTTAAGATATGAATATCCCCCAAATGCTTTCAAAAAGAGTTTCACAGGAAGCCAGGCTCTAGGGAGCCAGTCCAGCCACTTACTGTGGCGAACAATTTTAGTTTAATCATCTAAATATTTTGTGCAAATTGGAAGGAGGGAATGAAAAGCATTTGTGGTGTTCTGAGGAATGGAGGTCTGACACCACTAGAAAATTTTCTCTCGATTTCACTATCACCAAAGGTCAGTTAGTGTCATTTTATGATGCCAGCTGCTGCCCCCCAACATGCATATGCCCCAACTGAAGCCTTCAGTCTAAAAGTGTACACATAAGACAAGAGTGTGAAAGAATGGTCCTGAAGCCATGCAAATTTATTGGGGAAACGCTTCAAGGAGGTGCTGTCGACAGAAAACTTGCAAGGACCCTCACAGGGCAAAGTATTCATGAACAGCAACAATTTACATATTGCCTCCCTCATTCTGGAATATCCCAAAGATAATGTCTACATATTTGAATTTGAAACAGTGAGACTATAGTTGGTTCACAGTGCAGGGCTGTAGTAGGGGTGTTTTCATTTGGGTTAGCATCTGCTCTCTCCCCCCAAAGAGCTTCCTTTATTTACAGAAATTTAACAATCCCGGACAATTCAGAAGGCGCTATTCAGCTCCTGAGTTGAAAGTTCTGAGTTCTAATTTTAATTCTGCTACTGAAATGTGCAATGATTTAGTTTCTGTATATGAAAAATGATGAGGGAGAGATCAAAAAAAAAAAAACACCTTATTAACTGAAAAAATATAAAAATTTTAAAGTGTCAAACATTTTAATCTTGGCAGTTTTAAACACGGCTGTGCCAAGTCTGACTATGCCATGAAGACACAGGCAGGATACATGCCAGGCCCACCATTATGGTAGAGATTTTTGGGCACTGACTAGATTTCCTGTTGTCTGAATAGACCCGGTGCAATTACAGGAAAATGGCTGAGCGCCCAGAATAGAGGAAACAAAGGGAAGGAGGACGGCACAACCGTGGCTACGCTGATGGGCATTTACCATGTTGAGCTCCTCTTGTCTTAGGAAACTATAAGGGCCCTCGGGCAGCTGCCACATAAAACCTTCAGTTATGTTGGAAAGGTTGTATTTAAAAAAAGAATAAGAATAATGGGACTGTGGTAGGTCTGGCTAGTTGGGAGCTTGTGGTTAGTCAGCGGCGTAAGCTAGCTGTCTGTCCATTTGATGTAAGGAATGACTACTCGCTGTGTGGGTGAAGCCTCCATTCCAGAGAGAACTGTTGTGGGGCAGGTGGGGGAGGTTTAGACACTAAGAATTGTTAATGAGCCCCTCCTCGAGTGGGTGCGCTCATGAAAGTTCTCTCTCCTCAAGTGTGGCATTGTCCCAGCCTCAGGTGGATGTGAGGCTGATGTGCCATGACTGGCAGTTATTTGAAAAACTAGATTATAAATTGCAGTTTTATTCTTGGACCTGGGTCTGTAACTGAGCTTCAGCCCAGCCGCAGTAAAGCGTGAGGATGCACGAGTGCTGTGTATTCACTGAAGGTTCCTGTTTGTCTCTTCCAGCTTCTGCTTCCTGCTTCCGGTACCTAATTTCTGCTCCTGCCTTCCACTTTCCTCCTAACGTGAGCTCAACTTTCAGCTTTCTCTCAGGTTCTCCTTTCTATTCCCTGGGCTGCATCCTCCTCCTGGTGCTGTGTCCCTGTGCTTGTAACAGAGGAGTGCTCCCTGGGCCTCCATCCCCTTGAGCGGAGTCATCCACTTCCTCGTACACCACGTGGAATTTCTGTCTCCTGGCCCCTTTACTGACCTGATTGAGTGCTGATTCACCTACGCTGAGTGGTACAACGCAAAGCCCACTCTGCTACTGAAAAAGACTTTTGATTTGACAAATAATGTTCTAGTGTCTGTGTATGAGGTGTACTCTGACTTGAACAGGCTATCTTCAGTGACTTCAGTGGAACTAATAAACCCAAATTTTAGCCTCCATTTTAATGTATCTCTTGCTTGTTAGTCAAGGACGTAGGCCTTTTACAGAAAACCTAATGAAAACTATGTAATAACTTAGTTTTAAGGATCTCCACTTGTTAGAAATGTCCGTGTAAGAACAAAATTCTGAGCTCCACATAATGCTTTAATTACTTTAAAATATTTAGTAAAATAACATTTGATTACATTTAAATAAATACCTCCCTTGTGTTTGTAAACTAGGTTGTGGGTCTTCGGCTATTTAAGTTTTTCTTCTTAAGACTAACACATTTCTAGTTGGTTCTGCTCTTTAGCTGGTTTACTCTTTAGTTCCTTTTTTAAAGATTTATTTATTTACGCATACAAGAACTGGGGTATAGGCCATAGGTGTGGGAGGTGAGAGGATTCACCAGAGACAGAGCGGGGAGCAGAACAGGCAGATTGAGGAAGTACACTGCTGAGGGGAGCAGCGGGTGGGTCAGGAGAGGTCTGCTGAGCCATGTGGGTCACCTCCGGGGCAGGGATCCAACTCACATTTAAGTGGCCACCGTCAGCTTTGCAGTGCTGCGTTCCAACCTGCTGTGCCACAAAAGAGGGCCTGTTTCTTAATTTTAAATCATACCACTTGTGTGTCAGTTTTGATGTACTTTAAAAGGATTATATCTAGTTGACTGAGCAAGTCAATATCATAAAAGGGAACTAAAAGATGCTTTATCAGTGTCCCTTTTTCTAATTCCCAAAGCCAAATGTTCTTCTTGAAATTAATCCTCTTCAGAATCTGTTCTTATAAAAGTCTGTCCTGCTTTTACTTGGCAATTGAATTAAACGAACTTCTTTCTTCAATATGTGATGATAATGTCTCCTAATTTCCTGTCCATGGAAACATTTTACATGCACTTTTGTGTGTGTGTGTGGTATTTTGTCTTTCTCTGCAATCCAGCCCCAGCTCCACCCATTCTAAATGACTGGCTGTTCTGGGGCAGCCAGGTAATTTGGGAAAGGAATTCGGGGAATCTCTCAGTTTCAAAGAGTCAGCTGATAGGACTGGAGCAGGCTTAGTTCCTGTTCGAACTGACAGACCAGGTAAGGGGGCCCTAGACAACAAAGTAAACCCCAGGGCCTATCTCAGCAGAGTTCTAACTCGCCACTGCCAATGCTACTTATTGAGTCCCTTTTTCCTTTTCCTAGAAGTTTCAGGCACCTGCAAGGGAGACCTGTGTGGAATGTCAGAAGACTGTCTACCCAATGGAACGACTCTTGGCCAACCAGCAGGTGTTCCACATCAGCTGCTTCCGGTGCTCCTATTGCAACAACAAACTTAAGTAAGCCTCACCAAACAGCTGCCTCCTGGTACAATCAGATCTGTGAAGGGACTGCTTGCCTTTTAGAGCACAGCTTGGCACTAAAAGTTGTTACACTGTTAGTGTGCTGATAAAGGCCCTTGAAAAAGTAGAAAAGTACCACTTAATGACAAGCATTTCACATCAACTTATAATGGTGTTTGGAACTCTTGGTGTACTATAGATTTATTTATATGTTAGGACAGAAGGTTAAATAATAAGAGATGCAGGTAAACACCCCTAGGGCCAAATGTGGTAGAATGTTTTCCCTTGGTGTATCATAGAAACATAAAGTAAAGAAATCTCAAGGGCCCCCCCAGTGATGCAGGGGTGAAGACTCAGCACAATAAAGCTACCAGCAGCCACTGAAGCATGAATTCGATCCCCAGCCAGGGAGTGACACAGGGAAGGCACAGCAGACGACTCCTGACCCACCCACTGCTCCCCTCAACAGTGGATTGCAGTAGATCTGCCTGTCCTGGTTCCCACTCTGTCTCTGGTGAATCTTTTCAACCGCAACCCCAGCACCTCTGGCCTGCATCCCCATTCTTGTATGCATAAATAAATAAAAATAAATTTTAAAAAAAGAGACACTCTCAAGAGATACCTGTCAAAGTTCTTATTTCTTAGTGTCCCAGGTACACTATAAATGGTAATAATAGCAACAACAGACCCCAACGAGCATCTATATGACTTTATCTCTGAGAACATGATTATGTATCATTTCTTCCAGTTACCACACGAATGGGTAAAATATGGCAGACCTGGTGAAATACTCCGTATTAGTTCATTTTAATCAGAGCCTTGGAGGAGGAGGTAACCAGGATGTCACTTCTTCCTGCTTCCTGCCCACGCAAGCATCCCTTCGAGATGTTCTGGTGTCTGTGAGGCACCAGTGCCAGGCACCCCCTGCAGCTAGCCCCAGTGTCAGTTACTCTCCTTTGAAAACGTTCCCTTCTGCGAGTCAAAATAAGTCACTGAAACATCCTCGCATTTGTTCTTTTTTCTGCCCACTATATTACTTTTATTATTGTTCTCAGTTTTGAAATGCTGTTGTTTGTAGACCTCCTTTCAAACTGGATACCCTTTGAGAGACACCAAACCTAACAAAAACCAGCTCAGCACCAACACTAGGGAGCTTACCTTCTTGGCCGCCACCCTCTCTCCTGTCGGCCACCCTCACTTCTCTGGGGTAGGCAGTGTGTTTGCGTGGGGGCCAGTCCCAGGACATTATGGCCATTCCTATAGAGAAGCGTCTCTAAATTCCATCTCAGTGGCAAGCTGAGAGTAACACTGTAAGTAGTTACACTTATAAATACTAAGGAAATTCATGATTGGTCAGTGCTGGGTGGGACTATCTAGACTTACTGGAAGATAATTTTTTAAGTTTTGACAGAAGAAAGAGAAACTTTTAAAGAATGGCACATGTTTGAGGGGAGAGAAAGACTCGTGCAGGTCTAGGCATGGAAGTATGTTTTTCATAAGGATAATAAAACAAATGTGCTTAAAAGGGGTAAAGAAGATGACTGGACACTTTAAGGATGCCTTTCTCATTTAGCACCTTCTGAAGATACTAGAATTGCCAGATTTTAAGCCATAGGTATCAATAAGAGTAGACAGATTTTGCTGACTTGTCCTTTTTTTCTTTTAACGACAGTCTAGGGACGTATGCCTCTTTACATGGGAGAATTTACTGCAAGCCTCACTTCAATCAGCTCTTTAAATCTAAAGGCAACTATGATGAAGGCTTTGGGCACAGACCCCACAAAGATCTATGGGCAGGCAAAAACGAAAATGAAGAGACTTTGGAGAGACCAGCTCAGGCTCCAAATACAGGGGAGACCCCTCAGAGCCCAGGTGTTGAAGATGCCCCCATTGCTAAGGTCGGTGTGCTGACCGCAAGTATGGAAGCCAAGGCCTCCTCTCAGCGGGAGAAGGAAGAAAAGCCCGCTGAGACCAAGAAACTGAGGATTGCCTGGCCGCCCCCCACTGACCTGGGCAGTTCAGGAAGTGCTCTGGAGGAAGGCATCAAGGTATCTAAGCCCAAGTGGCCCCCTGAGGATGAAATCAGTAAGCCGGAAGCTCCTGAGGATGTAGATCTAGATTTGAAGAAGCTAAGACGGTCTTCTTCCCTGAAGGAAAGAAGCCGCCCGTTCACCGTAGCAGCCTCGTTTCGAACTGCTTCTGTTAAGAGCCCCAAATCCCCATCAGCACCTATCAGGAAAGGCAGGAGTGTGACAGAGCAGAGTGATGAGGTAGGAGGAGCCACAGAAAGGAAACAGATGGAAAACGCCAGCACTTGTGAGAAGACTGGGCCTGTGGGAAGAACCACCTGGCAAAACAGGGAATCTAAAGGAGGGGAGGCAGGAAGGAGAAGCAGGGAAGGTCATGATTTTGAGATGGGGCATGAGAGTCTTCTAGAAAATGGCGCAAACTTAGATGAAGATGACAGAAACCTTCTCAAACAGCAGTCGCCCCTGGAACCCAAGCCAACAGGTTGGCCCACCTTTGCAGATGACACCTCCACTAATGCATTCACTACTCAGAGCCAGAAATCCCAGGATGCAGGCTTTTGGGAGGGAGATGTAGAGCTGTCTGTGGAAGAGCAGATAAAGAGAAATCGGTATTACGATGAGGATGAAGAGTGACAGGTTATTGTCACGCAGGGCCTTAAATTCGTGTTAGTGGTAGTGAGATACTGCCCTTTATGAAGTAATTCCTGTAAACAGGCATTTTAGCATGAAATATAATTTATATCGATTTAACTTTGGAAAAGAGTCCCTGCTTCAAAAAATTCCCAGAGTGCAGCTTAAGTAAACCAATTCTAAACTCTAGAGATAACATTACTTCAACTCTATTTTAGCAGTGACAATAGGCCTAAGTGCTTTAAGGGTTGGAAGGGAGGGTGGATATTCCAACTGATCCAGTCCAGATTCCACTGTATTCCCAAAAGACAATATGAAATTAGGTAGCTAATTAGTAGTATACTGTTACACTAAAATTCGACTGTAGAATTAAGAGAACATACAGAAGGGATTTCAGAAGGGATTTAGGGACCGAAACATGACTGAGTGTACTTTGTTATAAAGGGCATATTTTATATTTTTTAAATGAATATCAATTGTTTAGTATTCATCTGTTAAGAGATCGAATGTGTAGTCTTCTAAAAAATATTTTAGGCTACTTTTCTTATATGTGGGGAATATATTGCTTTGTATACTGTTCTCGAAGCCACATCTAGAACTGAATTGAAAGAGATAGAACACAACCATCTTTTGCGAATACCTTTTGCACACCTTCGGTGCTTGGAGAGACCCACTGTCTCCTAAAATAAGCTGCAGTCTTTACTGAAATTGACTGCACTGCAAGAAGAGATTGTTTTTTTCCCCTCTGGTGAGGTATCCATGCTTCTCATAATTTACTGAAAGCTGCAATATTTTTATAAGATCTTTTGTATTGCTATTTACCACTGCACATTAGAGCAAAGTGAGATGTTTAAAGAAGGAATAGCAGGGGAAAGGCCTTAATACCCTGTATTCCACTTCTGAGATCCCCTTTCTTGGACTAATTTTTCAAGTATCAGCTTTGAAATGTATTGATTTTATAGCATACAGTATTCACAGGGTGCAATTAAACCAATTACAGGTATTTTGTGGGGGGTAGGGGGCTTTTAGTGTTATGGCTTTAGAACATTATAAACTTGACTATATTTGATAATTTGTACATAATTGATATTCCAGATTGTATGTGAGGGGGTGAAGAGAAGTGTTTTAAACTATAGGCTTTTCTTTATACTGCATTTTTAGAGATTTAACTCCAATATTTTTTAGAGATGTAAAATATTCTGCTTTCCTATACGCTTACTTTTTCTGAAACATTTTTATTCAATAAAGCTTTTAATTTACATTTGGAATTTCCACTATTCCTTTTCTGTCATAATTTTACACTGCTATAACCTTTTACTTTAACATTTCTGGGGAAAAAAGGCCCAATGGTCTGATGTGTTTTTTAGGTGAAGAGGAAGTGCTATGAATCAATCCTACCACTAGGTGGTGGTATTAGGCCGTTATTGGGCCTTTCTGAATGAAGCTAAGTTGTTTTTCTGCATAATTGAAAGCAACTTGGCAAGAAAATTAGTGTGTACATTCAAAAGAAGACACTCATTTTACCAATTCAAAAATACAGTACTTTTTAAGTTGTTAATTATATCCAACATTTAATAATTTACCTAAGAGTTACATCTAATTTGCTAAATGGAATTTCCAAATACCTCTGCTGAACTTGGACTTGTCTTCTACTCTAGGGAGAGGCATAGTTGATGGTTTGATTTTTTTTATTTAATGGGGATATGGGAGTATTTGTTTTCTAAGAGATAGGTATGGTTTTGAGTCTTCTGTTACACTTCCCAGGGTAACTCACCATATCTAGTGACTATACAAAAGCATGTCACCACCTCTGCCTGAATATCAGTTAGGCCACCATATTTCAGGTAAGTGTGGACTGAGATTAACCTTTGATAAGCCCTTTCCTTTGCTTTTCCAAGGCTAACATAGGCATAGGGAGTTGAAAGAAGGCAGAGCTTCATAATCAAAGTAAAAAAAGGATGTCCTTATCAGGGGAATCACTGACTAAACACTAAACATTCTTAGCAAACAACCTATCAAAAATTTATCACTTATTATTTCAACTCTAAGTGATAGCAATGTTTAAAATTTTTTTTAAGATTTATTTATGCATACAAGAACTAGGGTACAGGCCATAGGTGCAGAGGATGAGAAAATTCACCAGAGTGGGGAGCAGAACAGGCTGAGGAGAGCAGCAGAAGAGATAGGAGAGGTCTGCCATGCCATGTGGGTCACTGCCGTGGCGGGGAATTAACTCCTGCCTGCAGTAGCTGCAGATAATTTCATAGTGCTGTACTTTAACCTGCTGCACTACCGGGAAGGGCCCTAATAGCAATTTTTCAGTAGCAATATGATGATGAGTTTTTCTGTTGGTGAAACAGCACCTGAGATGGTTAAGGTGAGATTGTTCGTGGCTGCTGGAAGGCCAGCTTATCCACCAGGTTGCTGGTCAGATTGTTACCAGGCAACCCCATATGAAATGGGACTTATTAAGACTCAACTGTGGACACAAGGTTAAGAAAGGGCTTATTTACAAAAGAAGGGGAAATGATGAGTAACAGAGGGCCAGTTCCACTGAGTTGGAATCCCAATAACACACTGAAAGCCAGCAAAAACCTAGAGCCCCCAAGGCCCACGTGTCTGGTTTTACACCAAACCTGGCTGCTTAATCCCACCCTCAGTTTCGAGCAATCCTTTCACTGATGATGGGATTTATAGATCCCAGTGTCTTGATGGTTTTGGTTTGGAGTGGGGGTTGGAGTCCACAAAACCTGTGTGAAGTTCACTCAGGACATCCTTTCCTCCTAACAAGATCACTCCTGGCTAAAGTGGAAGATGTACCAAACTGACTTTCTTTACATATGTCAGCAACAATTCTAACAATTCAGGAGTTTTCTAACACCTGAGCATTTGAGAAATGATGCAGTTGTGCTTTTCTGAGGATATATTTGAAAGACCAAGATCTGTACTGTTTCCTGCATGCCAACTTAGCATGTCCCTGTCCCTTGGGATGTGATTTGAATTCCCATGGGAACAAGGAGGGTACTTCTTTTAAAATGCATCTTGAATGTGGCCTAGTTACCATTAAAGACAGTGTGGGGTGTGGAGAGAAATGGCTTCAAGCAGTGGTCCTCAGAGAATTTGTTAGAAATGAGAAATGCAAATTCATGGATCCTACCCTGAACCTTCTAAATAGGATCTCTGGCGGGGGCCTGGAAAACTAGCAAACTCCACATCCACCACTGTACAAACTAATGCCTTACCTTGATCATATTGAAGTTAGAACCACTGAGCTAAAACCTAATCTACTGGGCCCTCCTTGGTGGCGCAGTGGGTTAAACCACAGCACTAAGAAGCTTAAAGCCACTTCCGCATGAGTTCGATTCCCGCCTGCCCCAGAGGTGACCACAGGTCGCTGCAGACCTCTCCTGACCCGCCCGCTGCTCCCCTCAGCGGTGTACTTCGTAGATCTGCCTGTTCTGCTCCCCATTCTATCTCTGGTGAATCCTCTCACCCTCCTGTATCCCAGTTCTGTATGAATAAATAAATAAATCTTAAAAAAAAAAACAAAAACCTAATCTACTGAGGACCGCTGCTTCCCCCACCCCTCATTCCTTTTCTTTGACTCACTTTAATTTCTGGTATAAGCATGCCTTACCAGTTACGAGGTTACTTTGTCCTTGGACAAGACAAGGAATAAATTGTGTTCTTTTAATCGTTTTTAGGCCATTCTAGTTAGCTTCTCGTAATTTACCTAATAGTCAGATTTTAAAAGCATCCCAATTTGAGGGTTCTGTGACTATCAAGGGGCAAGTTTAGCCTTTTGGAGATGTCTAGTCTATGGCTTCCTTCCTTGTTCATGTAAACCCACGAAGAAATTTAATGATCAATACAGAAACTGAAAATTAAGGTGACATAGCTTAGAAGTCCTCCGCTCTACCACTTCTTATCTACATAACCTTGAGCAAATCTACTAGACTTCTCTGGACTTCGGTTTATCCATCCATAAACTAGTAAATAAAACAATATGCTCACTTGCATTTCCTCTTCCCCATGAGAAGCATAAAAGGATTTTTCTTTAAGACCACTTTAACCAGTAAGCAGTGTAAGGAGGTTGAGATCCTGGAAGGGCACGAAGGGAGGAAAAAGAACACAGGGTAGAGAGGCGGAGGAGGGACCAGCTCAGAGGCCAGATGGCCATAGGAAGAGGGGACAGGGGGCAGTGACAGCTCTGACGGGTCTTGGGTGGAGGAGCAACGTTGAGCCAGCTGCGTTGTACGAGAGCAAAGATCCCATATGGGAGCTAGAGTAAAAGGAGTGTGGCCCTGGCTAGACCGGCTGGCGAGGAAGAAACGTGATCCAAACGAGGAGCAAAAGGGGCGGGGCTGCACGGAGGGGGCGGGCCGGGAGGCGTGGTCCGAGGCCAGAATGCGGCTGAGCGGGCTCGGGGCGGGGCCGAGCTGGCGCGGACACCCCTGGCCCTTCCCTGTGGTGCGGGAGCTCACCCGTCCACCTACCCCGACCGCCCACCCGGTCCAGGGTCCACGTACGTTTTCACTGGGAGCTGGACTGACAGGGCAGCCTCCTGGGGGCCGCAGTCACCACACACCAGCGATGCTGGATGAATCGAGGGGGGGCTGCTGGCCACCGGCGAACAGCTCGAGGGCAGCACGGACCTGCGGGCGGGCTCAGTGGGGGTGTTGAGGCCAGGCTGGGGGTACCCTGGGCCAGCCGCTGGCCCAGTTCCGTGGCCCCAGGCGCTCTGGTGGCTGCAGATGCATTTTCACCCCCATAGGCGCGGGGGGGGGCTGGGAGGTGGGCCTGGGGGCCGGGGGTTCCAGCTGCCCCCTCCAGTCAGCTTCCTCAACCCATGGGTTGTGGGTCACACAGACCTGTGCTGGCTGTCCCTGCTTCACAGGGTGGGGGCGGGGGTTGGTGAGGCCAGGGAGCCCCTGCACCCCCACCAACCCACTGACTCTCAGCGGTACCCCATCCTACTGTAGCGACGCCCC